CGCGATTGTTTCTGTGCAAAATGTGCTCTGTGTCGTCGTCGTCGTCGTCGTCGTCGTCGTCTTCCTCCTCCTCCGCCTCCTCCCGCTCCTCCTCCTCCCTCTCCCCCTCCTCCCCCTCCCTCACTGCCTTTTTCTTTCTCCTGGTGCCCCCCACAAACATGTTTTTTTGGGGGATGGGGGTGGTCGGCGGCGAGAAAAAAGGAATGCGACGTGGCCACATCTGCCCCCCCCGTAGAAGGACCCATATTGAACGCCCTCGCAAGAAGGATTCACATTGAAATCCTCGACAAAACGGTTCCTATCGAAACCCTCCACTGAATGATTCCTATTGAAATCATCCACATGTGGATTCCTATGAAACCCTCCATTGAATGATTCCTATTGAAATCCTCGAATGGCAATGACAATTGCAATGATAATGGTAATGGTAATGGTAATGGCAGTAGTAATGGTAATGGTACTGGTAATTGTTATGGTAATGGTAGCGGTAATGATAGTGGTAACGGGGTAGCGATTGGCAATGTCAATGTCAATGTCAATGTCAATGGCAATGGCAACGGTACTGGTAATGGTAACGGTAATGGCAATGGCAATGGCAATTGCAATGGCAATGGCAGTGGGACTGGCAATGGCAATGGCGATGACAATGGCAATGGCAATGGCAATGGTAATGGCCATGGCAATGGTAATGGTCATGGTAATTTTAATGGTAAAGGGAATGGTAATGGTAATGGTAATGGTAATGGTCATGGAAATGGGAGTGGGAGTGGGGACGGGAACGGGAATGGACATGATAGTGGTAGTGGTAATGGTAATGGCACTGGTAATGGTAATGGTAATGGTATTGGTAATGGTAATGGTAGTGGCAATGGTGATGGGAATGGGAATGGGAATGACAATGGGAATTGTAATGGTAATGGCAGCGGTAATGGTAATGGTAACGGCAATGGTATTGGTAATGGTAATGGTAATTGTAATGGTAATGGTAATGGTATTGGTAATGGTAATGGTAACGGTGATGTTAGTGGCGATGGTAATGGTAATGGTAAGGGTAAGGGTAAGGGTAATGGCAGCTGTAATGATAGTGGCAAATGGCAAGGGCAATGGCAATGGTAAGCGTAATGGTAATGACAGTGGCAATGGTAATGGTACTGGTAAGGGTCACGGTAACGGTAATTGTAGCGGGGTAGCGATTGGCAGTGGCAACGACATTGACAATGGCAACGGTAATGGTAATGGCAATGGCAATGGCAATGGCAATCGTAGTGGCTATGGCAATGGCAAAGGCAACGGTAATTGTAATGGTAAAGGTAATGGTACTGGGAATGGGAAAGGGAATTGAAATGGGAATAGGAACGGGAATGGTAATGATAGTGGTAGTGGTAGCGGAAATGGAACTATAAGGGTAAGGATAAAGGTAAAGGTAGAGGTAAAGGTAATGGCCAATAGTAATGGTAATGGTAATGAAAATGGTAATGGTAATGCTAATGCTATTAGGAATGGGAATGGGAATGGGAACGGACATGGTACTGGCAATGGTAATGGTAGTGGCCAATGGCAATGGTAATGACAATTCCAATGGTAGTGGTAATGACAGAGGTAATGGTAATGGTACTGGTAATGGTAGCGGCAATGGTAATGGTAATGGTAAAGGGGTGGCGACTGGCAATAGCAATGGCAATGGCACTGGCAACGGTAATTGTGATGGCAATGGCAATGGGGCTGGCAATGGCACTGGCACTGGCAATGGTCGTGGCAATGGTCATGGCAATGGCAATGGCAATGGCAATGGTAATGGTAATGGTAATGGTAATGGTAAGATGAATGGGAATGGGAATGGGAATGGGAATGTGAATGTGCATGGGAGCGGGAACGGAAACGGGACTGGAAATGGTAGTGGTAGCTGTAACGGAAATGGGAATGGTAAGGGTAAGGGTAAGGGTAAAGGTAGAGGTAAAGGTAATGGTAATGGTAATGGTACTGGTAGTGCTAATGGTAATGATAATGGCAGTGGCAGTGGTAATGGTAATGGAAATGGAAATGGTAATGGTAATGGTATTGGGAATGGGGATAGAAATGGGAATGGCAATGGTACTGGCAATGGTAATGGTAGTGGCAAATGGCAATGGCAATGGCAGTGGTAATGGTAATGGTAATGGTAATGGTAATGACAGTGGTAATGGTAATGGTACTGGGAATGGCAAGGGTAATAGTAACGGTAATGGTAATGGTAATGGTAATGGTAATGGTAATGGTAATGGTAATGGTAATGGTAATGATAATGGTAATGGTAATGGCAACGATAACGGGGTAGCGATTGGCAAGGACAATGACAATGGCGATGGCAACGGTAATTTTAATGGTAATGGCAGTGGCCAATGGGAATGGACACGGCAATTGCAAGGGCAATGGCAATGGCCATGGCAATGGTAATGGTAATGGTCATGGTCATGGTCATGGTAATGGTAATGGTAATGGTAATGGTAAGTGTAATGGTAATCGGGATTGGAATGGGAATGGGAATGGGAGTCGTAATGGTAATTTCAACGGGAACGGGAATGCAAATGGTAGTGGTAGTGGTAGTGGTAATTCTAATGGTAATGATAATGGTAATGGTACTGGTAATGGTAATGGTAATGGCAGTGGTGATGGTAATGGGAATTGTAATTATAATGGCAGCGGTAAGTGTAATGGTAATTGTAATGGTAATGGTAATGGTAATGCCAATGGCAATGGTTTCGGTAAGGGCAATGGTAATGGCAATGGTAATGGTAGTGGCTAATGGTAATGGCAATGGCAATGACAACGGTAATGACAGTGGTAATGGTAATGGTACTGGTAATGGTAATGGTAATGGTAATGGTAACGGTAATGGTAATGGTAATGGTAACGGGGTAGCGACTGGCAATGGAACTACAATGGCGATGGCAACAGTACTGGTAATGGCGATGGTAATGGCAATGGCATTGTCAATGGGAATGGCAATGGCAATGACACTGGCAATTGTAATGGACATGGTAATGGTAATGGTAATGGTAATGGTAATGGTAATGGTAATGGTAATGGTAATGGTCATGGTCATGGTCATGGTCATGGTCATGGTCATGGTAATGGTAATGGTAATGGTAGTGGTAATGGTAAAGGTAAAGGTAAAGGTAAAGATGAAGGTAATGGTAATGGTAATGGTAATGGTAATGGTAATGGTAATGGTAATGTGAATGGGAATGGAAATGGGAATGGGGATGGGAATGGGAATGGAAATGGTAGTGGTAGTGGTAACGGAAATGGGAATTAAAAGGGTAAGGGTACAGGTAAAGGCAAAGGTAAAGGTAAAGGTAAAGGTAAAGGTAAAGGTAATGGTAATGGTAATGGTAATGGTAATGTCAATGGCAATGGCAATGGCAATGGTAATGGTAATGGTAATGGTAATGGTAATGGTAATGGTAATGGTATTGGGAATGGCAATGGGAAGGGCAATGGCAATGACAATGGCATTTGTAATGGCCATGGTAATGGTAATGGTAATGGTAAAGCTAATGGTAATGGTCTTGGGAATGGGAATGGGAATGGGAATGGGAATGGACTGGCAATGGCAATTCTACTGGTACTGGCAATGGCACTGGTAGTGGGAATGGGAATGGGAATGGGAATGGTAAAGGTAATGGTAATGGTAGTGGTAGTGGTAGTTGTAGTGGTAGTGGCAATGGTAATGGTAATGGTAATGGTAATGGTAATGGTAATGGAAATGGTAATGGTAATGGTAATGGTAAGGGTAATGATGAGGAGCAATGTGAAAGATCGTAAAAACTCGTCTGGAACCCACAGCGACTCCACAATCCCCCGGCCTCGAGTATCTAGGGGGCTCTGTGGCCACTCGGGGCCGTCGTGGGGGAGTCTTGGGGCATCTTGGAGGCATCTTGGAAGCCGTCGTGAATCATCTAGGGGGATCTTGAGCCATCTTGGAGGCGATATTGGGCTTTCTCAATCAATATTTGAGCCATGTTGGCCCCCAAACTCCCATGGCTGCCCCCGAGATGCCGGAATCTGTGAACATTATTTGTTTATGTTTTGTCTGATCTAGGTTTTCAACGAAAGGGGGTATTTAATTTGCCTCGCACCCTTGGAGCCTCCCACATGGCCTGTTTGGGCGCTCTTGGAACTCTTGGGCCCTTCTTGGGACTATTTGGCCATTTTGGAGCCATCTTGTGGCTTCGGAAGCCCATCAGAAGCGAAACAGTGAGAAGTCCAAACTCACGAGGTTCTTGTGGGTTTTGGAATGATTTTGGCATCTTCGTGGCCTGCTTGGGGAGCTCCGGGGCCACTTGAGGCCATCTTGGGAGGGTATTCGGATCTCTTGAAGAATGTTGGAAGCCGTCTTGGAGCCATCTTCGAATCTTCTATGCCGTCTTGGATGCCATCTTGATCTCTTTCAGAGCTCTCTCTGGACCATCTTGTGACAGAACAAACTCTCTGACACCTGCCCCCCCCTTCCCGTCGAGACCCAGGATGGCGGGGTAAGGGTATCGGGAGGGGTAAGCACCTCCCCGACGGAGAAGATATCGGAAGAATAACCGCTCTAAATCACTCACGCCCTAAAGGGCTGGCAGGGTTTTCGGTTTGCACGTTGTCAATGGTAGGACGCTGGGCGTGTTTGGGTAGGGCACTTTATGCGGTTATTTCCCATCGCCTGAGCGTTAGGGGCCGTACTTGTTTGTTCGTATGCCGCAGGGGGGCATACACTGTAACAAAGCGAGCCCATGCGCGCTCAAAGGCTTGAGTGTACTCGCTACCAGCCAGACATCGTTTGCCGCTCTGCGTGGCAGTTAGCTGTCATAAGATGGCTCCAGCGTCAATTGAAGGGTGTTGGATCGGGCCGACTCCGTGGTAGCACAGAGTACCAATACATTTGTGCCCTTGGCGATTTTGAACAACCGAGGTCTCGCACTGTGCGCCATTCTGCTACCAGTTTGCTCAGGCCAGTCTAGGCACGGCCCCGTTGTATGCAAAGGGAGTCGGCCTTGCCATGGAGACATGAAGGATAGTGCTTCTTCAAGCCATTTGTGTTGAGCAACATACTCTGCATCTGGGTTCTGTTCCAGTGCAACGCACATATTCTTTTGTCCGCGTCCATGTCTTTCTACCATTCACGTCCCCGCTTGGCATCCTCCCCATTCCTGCAATGAAATGTGGATCGGTCTTTCAGTCTCTGTGGTTGCCCCTATCTCTCCCTCTCTGTCCCTCATTGATCATTCCTGTTATGTTTTTTTTTGTTTGTTTTCTCTCTCTCTCTCTCTTTCTATCTTTCTTTCTGTGTGTACATATACTGTTCAAAAACACATGCGTACACCTGCTTATTCCAAGCCCTTCCTCGGCTGGGTTCTCGTTTTGAGTCGAGTACTGTGGTCTCCACTCTTCCTCTCCTCCTTCCCCGCCTCCTCCTCCTCCTCCTCCTCCCTTCTGCCTCCCACCTCCAATTTCATTCCCAACCCTCCTGCGTTGGGGTCTCGTTTTGAATAGAGCACCGTGGACACGAGCAGTCCATTTTTGCCCACCACGACGGAGTCGAACGGCTTATTTTCTCCTGCCATGGTGAATGTATTAGTTGGCCGTTGAGGCCGTTCAATACGGTCTGTCGCGCAGCAGTTTGGCAGACCAGGGGATGATACGCTTTAAGTTAAATCGTATCCTTCGCCATATGGTGCCTATCGTTTCTCCTCCACTTCCTCCCTCCTTCCCTCTTGTCGCGAACACCAGGACATCCAGAACAGCCGTCTGTCTTGTGAGCGTGGCTGAAACTTGGGGCGGGGGGAGAAACAAAAAGATCGACGGAGTCGAAGACCACCATGCTGTCCACCATTTCGAAGTCGAGAATGACGTCGCTGACCTGCACTTGATATGCAGTGCCACGTCGTCTGCCACTACATGGACGAGCTGGCCGTCCAAGACTAGCACCATGAGGAACGAACATTGCCCTCCAGGCTCGCCGCGACGGAGTCGAGCTCGGAGTCGAGCTCGACGCCGGGCATCGGCACAATGGAGCCGGACAGTACCGCGGGGTCCACCGACCCGCGCTACCACGACATCCATCACCACAGAGTCTGGCCCAACGTCCATGACCAGCTCTACGGAGACCAGCCCTACGGGGACCAGTAGAACCGAGGGAACCACCATCACGTTGGTTGGACTTGCAAATTGCATGTAAGTCTTTTTTCTCACAAAGGATTGTTATGTGTTCTGTTTGGTGTTTTGTGTTCTGTTTGTTCCAGCTGTTCAAGCAGGGCACGCCCTGTACGCCCAGTCTGGCGCGTCGTAGCGATCGCGACCCTGCCCGTGCGGCCCGAGGTCCTCGGGCCGTCGAGCGCCTGACCTCGGTCGGGAGTGGTTTGCTCTGTTCTGGCATCGATCTATGCTTCAGTCGGGCCTGTCCCTCTACAGGAGGCAAATTCAAAAATACGTCAAAAAATAGTCTGGGGGCGATGTTTTGAGTGGTTTTTGGATTTTCGGGGTATGTTTTCGACTATTTTCAATTTTTCGTCCAAAAGCTGCCCGTAGGAGAACATGCCCGACCTAAATCTATGATTGCTTGTTTATGTCGCACGACCGGCCCGGTCGTGCGGCTTCGGTCGATCGTTTTGTCCCATCTCGTCTTGGCTTTCGTCGTTTCTTACCCCCCCAGGCTACAGTTTATCGGTCAACTTTGCCTACAGCAGGTCGGCTCGTGCAGCGATCTGCATTTGCCTGGCGATCTTCTGCTTCACGTTACTGTGCCCTTCCTCCGGGACAAATATATGCTTCTTTGCTTATGTGGCGAGGCTCGTGGATGTGAGCGCCGCTTCATCCTTGGATTTGGCCACTTTTCTCACGGTCATGCTTGCTTCGATGCCTGTTGGTTTATTTGTCGAAGCTCGTGGATGTGAGCGCCGCTCCATGCGTGGAATTTGCCACCCTTCTCACGATCATGCTTGCTTTGATGCATCATGCTTTGTTTTATGGTTGCTGCATGCTTCTTGATGGGGTTCCCTCTTGCGCGTTCGTTTGTTGTTTTGTTTTTTTGCTCACCTGACGCCGCCACATTTTCGTTTTGATCTACGAGATGTTATTTGCCGAGTTGGTTCGATTGTTCGCCGACGTTGTGCGGACTGGAGCCGTGCGTTTTCCTTGCGCAAGTCGTTGTCGGACTCTGCCTTTGTCTCTGCGATCTGGGGCTTCTGTGCACCCGTTTCTCTCTCTCTCTCTCTCCTTCTCTGTTCTGTCCTGTCCCTTCCTTCCTTGTCCTTCCCTGCCCTGTCCTGTCCTATCATGTTTTGTACTGTTGTAGTCGTTGTCGTCGTTTGTCCTGTTGTCCTCTTCCATGTCTGTCGACGTCTCTGTCCTTGTCCCTGTGCCTGTCCCTGTCCTTGCCCTCGTGCGCGTTCTGGTCCTTGCCCTTGTCCTGTCCTGTCCGTTTGTCCAGTTGTCATTGTCTCCCACCGTTTCTTTGTGCTTCGCCACTGAATTGCTACGTGGTGTCTACCCGTAAAACCAAGCCGTGCCTCATCCATTGCCATGGGTTCCTCCCAGTGCGCGGTGTCAGCCTGGCCTTTCTCGGTTGTGCCACTCCGCCCACACAGAGGACTGTCATCTCGTCTTTATGTTGCCGTACCCATGAACGAGGAGTCCGACGAGGACGGCAACTGCTTGCTGGATTTATCACGAAAGGTAGCAGCGATGACGAAACGACTTTTGGGCCACGTTGAGGATGACACGACGGAATACCTTCTGTGGCATTGGAGGAGCTTCCTGGTGCCGCTGAATCGGGCAGTAATGAACGCCACGTTGCTATGCGTTTGAGGAGAGAAGTACCCAGACATCCGACGCTCCACTGTTGTCGATGCGTGGACCCCCGGAGATCTGGACCGCTTCCCCGCAAGGCGGGTTCTTCATCCTCAGCCGTCTGTTGAAGGTCTTGGGGCCCGTTGAGGGCCCCAGGAGGCCGAAAGAGCCAAAAACCAGTAACTCTAACTTTTTCTGAGCCTTGGATCTCTGGGCACATCGCCGACGCCTTGGATCTTGGGGCAATGTTGTGTGCGGGCAAGGTTTGTGTCCATATGCCCTGCGTCTTGGATTTTCTGGGAAGTGGCACCAGGAGGCCGAGGTGCAGCGGATATGGAGAAAAGTCTGGCCGCTACCAGCCTCTGGGGGCCAGGCTTCTATCTATGTTCACTCCTCCTGGACGCAGGGGAAATGGTGAGGAGGAGGAGGAGGAGGAGGAGGAGGAGGAGGAGGAGGAGGAGGAGGAGGAGAAAGGGAGCTCGGAGCTCCAGGACGCAGGGGAGATGGCGACACGTTTTGCCCGCAGTGTGGACGTGTGGGCACGCGGGGGGGCCTGGACTGCTTCCCCGGGGCAGGCTCTTCCTCGGCTGTCTTGTGCCGGCCTCGGGGCCTGCGGAGGAGGCCGAGCAGCGCAGAACGGCTGGCGGCTCCAA